CTATCGAACTTTTGATCAAGCCCCCAAGATTAATAAGAAGGTTTTTCAAGTTACAAAATCAAGTTTAAAGGGGGGTGTTGAAAATAAACTTGATTTTAGTATTTAGTATTTTCAAGTATTTTTGTATCCATGATGCATGTGTTAATTTAGCATGTTAGTGGGTAGTAAATTGTCTTAGTGGGAGTTAAGGTTATATAAAATAAAGAGTCATGAGAGTTAAGCCTAACAAATACTATGTTAGTGGGAGTTATACATATTGAAGATTATGTTAGTGGGAGATAGGAGAGTTATGGACATTTAAATGTAATGGTTACACATACATATGTGAGGCCTATATATTCATGTACTCTAGTCAAATAATATATCAAGTGAAATAAGAAATATTTTCCTCCATTTCTATTCTCTTCCAAATAGTATAGTGTTGTGTGTGTAACTAGGCCACTATTTCCAACATGTTGCACTTACCCTCAATCATTTGTGGGGTCTTAAAGGCCAAGGCAGTTTGTCTACTGTACAAATTCTTCATAAATGAATCTATGGCTGTGAAGCCTTTGAATGTTTCCACCTTCAATTTCCCTACCGTTGCTGCAACTTCACCCAACACACCCACTGTTATCCAGTTCTTCAAGTCTGAAAATGCTCCATCTCTTGGCACATAAACGCTATACCTTGTTGTCTCCGACAATGGATCTAAAATATATTCATATAAATCAATATATAGCAATTAAGTTCTTGAACTTAGAATTAATTAATTTCTTCGGTGATGCATGGTGATAATTGCATGTAAAACAACAAATTTGACCAATGATTTCATATGTGTGTGTGTGTGTGTATATATAGATATGAATCATTGTGCTAATGATTTTAATGATTTTAAGACTGCACCAATTTCCCCAAAGTCTCCTGGAACTAAAAATTCATCTGCATTTCTCCCTTTAACTGACGTCAGTAGCTTCACTTTTTTCGTCTCTTCAAAACAATAAATAAAAAAGTGTGTGTTATCAAATAATTGTATTTTATATAATTCTCTTAAAAACTTTTTTCCCTTTAAAACTATTTTGTGAAGTAAACATGTCCTAGTTAACTAAATTAAAATATATATATGACATGGATCCTATGCGACCGCGCACTCATTTAAAAGCTAAAGGGTGACAATAAAATATTATTATTTAAAATTTTAAATATAAAAAGAAATAATAAATAAGCAAATGCTTACTAGGATGGAGCTCGCAGCTAACAAGCTCCAAGGTGAGCTTGCCACTCGTTTGGGGGGATAACAAAAGCTTTAACGCCAGTAGACTTCTCAGTGGCAATAGTTGCTACGGCTTTGATATTTCCCGGAACAAATCTAATACGAATGTTCTTTCGGGTTCTACCGCAATCTCGCTTCAGCCGGAGGGTAAAAGAAGCTGTGTGGTTGCCGGAGACGAAGGGTTTGTGACACAGGAATAGGCTTTGAGCAGAGTGGCGTGACTGGTGGACTACTGGTGTGTTCAACATTTTTCCTTTTTGGGGGGTGGTCAATTGGAGTGGTTGGTACAAGCTTGCTAGAGAATTAAAGGTGTCTTAGATTTCTGATATGTCACAATTTGAGGCAAGCTTTCATTTATATAGATTTTGATACCACCATGTTTCTCATATGCTACATAAAAACTTATTGCACGTGAAAATTACATTCAACTATAGTAGTAAAATATTAGGTAAATAATTATTTTCCCAATTCCCCCACCTTTTACTTTAGAAAGTTAGAAAGTCCCTACACAGCCTTTGATAATTAAGATTATAAATATATAAATATTAAATTATAAATTTTAAGATAACATTATTATTTTATTCTAAAAGATAACAATATGATAATCATCAGCCACAATTGTGAGAACCAAAGGTATTTTTAATCTATATGTAACAAAATAATAATATACATGAAAAAAAAAAAAATTATATATATATATATATATATAAAACAAAATTTAATCTAGCAAATATCAAAAAATTAAATAATTTTAAAATCAAATTTGAATTGAATATAGACAAATTTAATACAAAACAATTAATTAAAGTATTAAGTACTAAATGGGGTTAGGATCCAATAAAATACCAAAATGTATATATTCAGGAAAACACATAATACTGAACAATTCTTTTATGAGAGTTTTATATTTACGTAAGAAAAGAATAAAGAATATTAGCATAATCTGCATAGAAAGAAAATAATATACAAAAAAGTAGGAATATATAGAAGAGTCAGATAAAATATCTAAATCAGATAAACAAAAGGGGAAAAAAATAATAATAAAAAGATGTAATGTCATGCTAATAGTGTACATGTGTGTGTGTGTGTGTGAGAGAGAGAGAGAGAGAAGGGGCATAAAATCCTATTGGGCCAACCTCAGCCCAGCCCGCCAGTTAGGAAAGGAGTCCATCAGCCCCCACTCATCCACTCTCATTTAAGGCTTGCTCTGACATAGACATCGGTCCAAATGAAGATCAACTCCATTGAGAAGAAATGAAGCCCATATTATTTGAAGGTTTAAAAAGAACAAAAGGATTTTTAGGGTACGGATAGACTTCTATAAATAGAAGAAGAGAAGAAATGTAAAGGATTCGATTAAAGTGTAAAAAATATACTTTCCTAATAGAGAGAGCAATTTATTGCACATTCAGTGTGAGAGAGACAGACAAAGATCCAAGAACATACGTATAAATATATTTATAGAAATAATGTGTATATATTTAAACTAATGGTTATGGTGTTTGTGTGTGTGTGTGTATAGAGAGAGGGAGAGAATGTTTTTTTTTTTTTTTTTTTTTTTAGCCAAACTAAAGAATCGTGTCTAATAATATTGTAAATTAGGGGGGATTACATATATATATATATATATAACACATGTACAATAATTTGGAGGGGCAACTGCTCCATTGATTGGCACAAAGTGGCCCAGTCTTTGTGACCAACTTGTACATCCCACACTCTTCAATACAAGTGATATATGCCTTATAAACAACGCTATGAACGTGCGGCAAATTATCTAACCTCTTTAATTATGTTTTAAAAAATTGACAATATTAGTGGACAAACATAATTTATAATGAAAAGTTATACTCGGATCAAAAGTCCTACGTTTTAATCCAACACCCAATCTGTGGAGGGAAAAATCCCCCGCCAATAGAAATCAGCCACATCATTAAAAAAAAAAGGTATTATCACATTATTTCTCCACTAGCCCTCCAAAGCCTACTCTTGATCAAGCCCAAGTAAAGTTATCATTGGCCCAATGTTATATTAACATTAACTTCTCGGCCTGCTAAAAGACCCGTCTGACTCACTCACATTATGGTCCAAGGCTGATTCAGATCAATCAAATCTTGCCTGATAAAGGATCCTCCACAGAAGGAAACTCTGCATAGGAAGAGTTCTACATGGAAAGAATTATATATAGAAAGAACCTTAAATATAATGAATTGTATATGGAATGAAATTTGAATGGAAGAAACGTGGATGACAAGTATAGCGAATCCTACCATAATTCTACCTTAATTTGTATATAAATAGAGGCATAGACCTCCAATAAAGATCATCAAGCATTACAAGCTTTTCTCTGAATTGTTCTTGTTATTAATTATTCTTTTATTTGAGTAAATTGTATTTATTCTTTTGACTTTTTAGTTAAACGAATTTTTGCACCTACACTTTGGCGCCGTCTGTGGGAAACGTATAGAAATATACCCCCACGAGTGATTAGAGATATTTTATGTGATTACGATCCGGGGTGTCAGTTGGAGGAGCCGCAACTGATCCACAGATAGAACTAATGCAGAAGATGCGAGAAGAGTTCTTGTAGTAATTCAAAATTCTCCATCAAGCAAACGAGGCCAGTACGGCTCAGATTGCATTGCTTCAACAACGGAATGACACTCTCTAAATAACCGTGGAGCAAATAGCAGCACAACCCCCACCAGGCAATACAGTGGGAGTCCTCCTCAACCACAATGTTCTTCCTATAGACGAAGCTCAAACCAATGAGAGTCGACAGGAGCAGAGGACGAGAACCGAGGCGGTAGCTTCGGATAACCACCCCCAACGCACATAAGACGAACAGGCCGAGTCCAGCCGCATGCTCACAGTATAGACAAATGGCATTCAGGATGTCATCCAGGAGGTCTTTCAAGCTCCTGAGGATCCAGACACCTGCTCAGATGGCTAAGGAACATAAGGCCTCTTTGGTGATGACTTTATTCACTGGTCAGGTATACTACGTCGAAAGACCTAAAAAATTCACCTTGCCGACCTTCACTCAGTTTGATGGCACAGGAGATCCATCTTGTTACCTCAACCACTACTCACAGAAGATGGCTTTGGATAATCACAACGATGCATTCATGTGCAAAGTTTTCCCAACTAGTTTGATAGGAGCCGCACTAGAATGGTTCAAGAACAGGCCACCCAAGTCAATCCCAAATTACGAAACTTTATGTACCATGTTCCTAGCGCAGTACTGCGGTAATAAGAGGCAGAAAAAAACTATCGCTAGTATCTTCACTATATGGCAGAAGAGAGGAGAAACGCTTCAGGATTTTTTGTCCAGGAATAACATGGAAGCTTCGGAGATAGCAGACTGTCACCCTGAAACAGCCGTCAAAGCATTCAAGATCGATATGATTTAAGGGACTAAGTTCCATACCTCAATAGTCAAATATTCCCCTCCAGACATGCAGACTCTCAACGCCAGGGCGCAAGTTTACATCCGACTTAAGGAGAATGTAGCCAACCGATCACAACATGTCACCCTCAGTACGGTAGAAAATAAGCCTCGGGAAAAAGCCTCAAGTTCAAAAAATCAAAGAAGTTAGTATGCCTCAGTACCAGTCGTCTAACTACCTGAGAAAAGGTAACGGAACGAGGAGAGGCTAGCCCCTCTTTGTACCACGTTGGCCCGATTATTCGAGGAGAACATAGCAAGATTCACAGCCCTCAACCGATGCGATAACCTTTGGAGCAGATGGACAAAAGTAAACACTGCGCCTATCATAGGGATTATGGGCATACTACTAATGATTGTAGGTCCCTTCGGCGACAGGTGGAAAAATGATAGCCAGAGGAGATCTAACAGACTATCTCAGACCGAGGGAGTAGACAAGGCCGAAAAAAGTTAATCCTTAAAAAGTGGAAGGTAATTAAGTGAAGGTCATTCATGCAATACATGGGAAGTCAGAGGAAGACCAAGAGTCAGAAAAGGTGTATCACTCTAGATTGAGGGCTGTTCACAAGCTAAGGAAGTTATCCTCAGTAAATACCATCATTTTGGGCAATATCAGCATCGGGTTTGGGGATGAAGATCTGTCTAGAGTACATCATCCCCATGAAGATCCACTCTTCATTAGTCTTTTAGTAGCAAACTACATAATTAAAAGAGTCCTTGTAAACCTTGGCAATAGCACCAATATTATAACTAAAGCAGTTTTTGAGCAGTTGGAGATCCCATCATCATCAATTAGATCCACTTTTAGCCCTTTGATGGGATTTGATGGACCAAAGGTAGATCCCATTAGGATAATAGATTTATCAGTCACTGTTGTAAAAAGAACATTGAAAAAGAACTTCGTTCTAACAGAAATTCACCATTCTTACAATCTCATCATGGAGAGAGGGTGGATTCACCAAATTAATGGAGTACCATCTACTCTGCACCAAGTGATGCGATGTTTGTCTCCAGATGGGAAGAAGTCATCAATCTTTGGGGAGATCAAGCTGCTGCAAAAGAATGCTATGTGCTGACATTAAAAGGAGCAAAGAAAGGAACTACAAAACCTGGATCAGATGCATCTTCTGAAGGAACTGATAAATAGCAATTACACAACCTTCTGCCTAAGTATTTGGATGTAGAGGCAAAAACAGTAAAAACCACCGAAGAATCTCTTGAAGCTATCGAAGTTATCCTTAGCAATCCATAAAAAGTCACTTATATGGGTTCCTCCCCCTCAGTAGAAGAGAGAAAAGTGTTAGTTGATGTCATCCGAAGAAATGTAGATACGTTCGCTTAGATCTATTCGGACATATCAGGATTCAACCCTTCAGTCTCATGCCATAACCTAAGAGTGGATCCTTCATGCAGACCAGTCAAACAAAAATATAGGAGGTTCGCTCCTGAAAGAAATCGAATTATTGCTAAAGATCGAAGTAGACAAGTTGTTTCAAGTAGGCTTCATCAGGGAAATACATTACCCTCAGTGGCTCTCGAACATAGTGGTGGTCCAAAAGAAGAATGGAAAGTGGAGAGTTTGCATAGATTTCACCAACCTTAATAAGGCTTATCCTAAAGATAGTTTTCCATTACCAAAGATAGATCAGATGGTGGACGCTACTACAGGCTATGAGAGACTCACGTTCCTCGATGCATACTCCGGATGCAACTAAATTCCCATGAATCCATAGGATGAAGAAAAAACATCCTTCATCATAGAGAAGGGAGCTTACAGTTACAAAGTTATGCCCTTCAGACTTAAAAACGCTGGAGTTACTTACCAGCGTCTCGTCAACAAGATCTTTGATAAAATGCTAGGGAAGATAGTCGAAGCTTATATAGACGACATGGTTGTCAAAAGTTATAGGAAGGAAGATCACCTTAGGCACCTCCAAGAAGTCTTTGACACTCTGAGAAAGTATAATATGAGGTTGAATCCCTCTAAATATTCCTTTGCAGTCTCTTCAAGATAATTCCTTAGCCATATTGTCAATAAGAGAGGAATAAAAGTAATTAAGAATAGCTTAGGCCCAGCCCGCGTACAGAATCAGGAGTCAAAAACTCACAGGGAAGTATAGATTCTAACCGGCAGAATAGCAACTTTCAGCCGCTTCATATCCTGATTGTCCGATAAGTGCAAACCTTTTTTTGATGCTATAAGGTCGAAGAACAGAGATATATGGGGACCTCAGCAGCAATAAGCTCTTGCTAGACTGAAGTATTACATGATTAAACCCCCAATTTTGTTTGCCCCTAAGCCTGAAGAAACCCTTACCATGTATTTAGCAATTTCGAACATAGCCACAAGTTCAATTCTGATCCGAGAAGAAGGAGGGAATCAGCATCCAGTCTTCTACACAAGTAAGACAATGATAGATGCTGAAATAAGATATAGTAAATCAGAGAAGATCATACTAGCCTTAGTATATGCAAAGAGAAAGCTTCGGCACTACTTCGAGTCTCACCGCATTGTGGTCCTCACAAATTACCCTATGCGAGCCCAAGCCAGATCTGTCAGGGAAAATTACCAAATAGGCAATCGAACTCAGTTCTTTCGATATAGCCTACGAGCCGAAGTGTCACACAAAGGACAAGCCATGACTGACTTCCTCTTGGAATATGAAGACAAGCACGAAGAGCTAGAACTTCTAGAACCTCAATGGGAACTTCATGTAGATGGTTCCTCGAACCTGACTAGCGCAGGGGCAGGGATCATTGTAGACATTCAATTTTTCCCCTACCCATTTATAGGGACATTCTTACAAACTACCACTGAAGATCGTAATCTTCGCTTTTTTTATTTTTTTTTTTATTTTTATTTTTTTTTAATAAATAACATTAGTTTGGAAAAAGTGGAAAAATTGGAAAATCCAATTGATGGATAGTAAAATGGACTTCACAATTGGGTCCAGAACGTCCCAAAACCTTTTGGGATATACCTGGAGTCGAATTTGTAATAACACTCCTAACACTCGATCAAGGAAGGGGCAAAATAGTAATTTTGCACCCCTAATCGGTTCAAGTTTGATTAAACTTGAAAAAAACAGTCTAATATAATTACCAAATAAAAAATGGACCTTGCCATTGTGTCCAAAATGCGTCAAAACCTTAGTGTTGAAAAAAAGTTAATAAATATTAAATGAAGAAAATAATATAAAATAATAAATAATATAAAAATAAAAACTAAGTAAATAAATAAATATTAACTTTTTTTAATTGAAAGATCATTGTAGATCATTCAGGTCGTCGCCTTAAGCCACAAGGATAAGACCAAATGGAAGTAAATTATAAAATAAAAATAATGATAAAAAAGTAAACCAATTAATACCATTAAATTATTGCATAAACCCATGATACTTTCACTTAGATATGTGGTTTGTGGCAACAATCAAATAATTAACGCAATAAAATAAAAATTGTTGGAGGATAATTCAAAATAAAAGTTGTTGGAAGATAATTCAAACTAAATCAAACTTTTTATTCTGTTTTATTTTTTAAATTCAAATAAAGTTGTTAGAATAGAAAGCCTGATCTATTCTATCATATCACTTAATTCTTCTATCTTGTGAGTTTTTTTAAAGTTGTTATTCATATTTCAGTGAGTGGAGAATATACCAATTACAAACCCTCAAAGCCTCCAACTCTCTTTGGGTACAGGGGAGGCAGATTATCCACCCACGGTATGAACATTCATTCACCATGGAGGGACCTAATTACCAACCCTAAAAAAGAAAAACCCTAGCAACTACATAAAGTGAGACCTCCATCTATACACAGGGGGACCTCCTCCATCTCTCTACACAGACCCATACACTGCATACACCAATATTTCAATCCATCAACATATCAACTATAATCCTTCCCGCCCCCGGAGGCGTAGCAGTGATGGTAGGAGCTCGGCGCTTGCACTCCACAGGCCAGTATTCGAACCTCCAAAGCCTCCTATGTTCTCGTCTCATCCGGTATGTGGCTATGGGACTGTGCTACATTACCCCCAATTTGACACCATGGGGTGGGATCCCTAAGGGACCTTGTTTCAAGGAGTTATGGGTGAAAAAAAAATAAATAAATAAAAAACTATAATCCTTCCCCAGTATTTCAATCCATCAACATATCAACTATAATCCTTCCCCGTTATTTAATTTTGGGTGATCGCTAGATGAGGCACGGGTGCAATCTGCCTCTTAGAAAATATTTCAATCTTTACTTGTTATCTCTAAACCTGTTTTGGAAAGGGGTCGGTCCGACCACCGCCTCTATATGTTCTAGCCGTGTACGAGCCTGATGCTGCACCATTTATGTCTGAAGAGGCTATGTTGGCGACTCTTGGTAATTCCAAAGACTACATTGAGGTAGTATCGTATATTCGTAAGTAAACTACATGCCATAGCAAAGGTTAGTTAGTTTGGGTCTTCCTTTATTTGATTCAATTTATATGATTTACATGCAAATGGATGTGAGTAATTTAGAATGCTACATGTGATCTCTTTTCTTGTGGCCATGACTTGCTATATGAAATTTGGACTGCAATGCTAAATAGATTCTACTTAGATGTTTATATCATAACTAGTGATTAAAAAATAGTTGATTTCCATATGCTTTAAATACAGATTTTGTAGTGGTAACATCATGATTTAGACAACATGGGTTTAGTTTCACTATGTATATTTCTACACAATTTACTCGATCTATGTCTGCTGTGAAGATTGATGTAAACAACGTCTATAATCATTTTTTGCCATGAAATTATATTTTCCTAAAAAGTAGTTTTCTTTGGAACACTATTTTCTAAATAAAAATAGTGCTATCATTTTCTTGTAATCGTATTTCTCTAAAAATAATAAAAAAAGGGTTATGTTTCATGGAAATCATATTTTTCAAGTAATTATTTTTCTTAGAATAATTATTTGCTAAAGGAAATATTCCACAGAATTATATTTTCCAAATAATCGTTTTACCTCAAAAATCGTATTTTTCTAATCTCCAAAAAAAAATAAAAAAGAGACTCATGTCTTCCTAAAGATAATATTTTCAAAACAAATCATTTTAATTTCCTAGATAATCAACTCTATTTGACTCTGGTTTTTAGAAGTAAAATTCATTTTAATCATAATGTTTTATCTGAAATCATATTTTTCAAATAAACTTTTATTTTATTTTATTTTCCACTCAAAATAATATTTTTCATATATCAGAGAAATATATTCTCTAAAAGCTATATTTTCTAAACAAGGATAAGTTTTCCAAAAAAGCCATGTTTTCCCAAAAACAAAGTTTCTTAAAACAAAACTCTCCCAAAAATCATGTATATTAAAAATATAAAATTTCTAAATATTTCCTAAAGAGTCAAAAATAACGCATCTCTCATATAATGCATCTTTCCTAAATTTTGATTAAAGCAAAAATATTGATTTAAGAACTGATTCAACATATTCGTCACTTCTTGAAGTAAAAATGTAATAATAATGCTTCTTAAAATTGGTATTCTTATAAAGTCAGTTTTTTTTAGAATAAAATAAAAGTTCTTAGAATAAAACATTTTCAAATATCATGTTTCCTAAAATACAATTTTCTTAAGTATCAGTTTTCCTAATCCAAATAAAATATTTTGTTTATAGGTTATATCTTTTCAAATAAAATATATATATATATATATGTATATATATTTTTGAATATATAAATATATATTACTTTCAACATAGTAATACTTTATTCGAAATCAAAGATTACTATATTTTTCAAAAATAATATTTTTCCTAATAGTAGTATCTTTTCTAAATTAAATAATATTAAAACCATATCTTTTTCAATGTAATACTAAAATTATATTATTTCCAAACAATAATATTTTCTTTTAAAATAAAACTCTTTAGAACAATGTTTTCTTAAAATAAAGCTTTCTTAAAAAGTCATTTTTCTAAAAGAATCCAAGATTTACTTTAACCATACATATATATATATATATATACACGTATAGATATTTGGTCGTAAAGACCATATTTTCTAAAAGTCATACTTTTCCTTAGAAATCATA